AAACAAGGTCATATCTCCGAAACCAAAAATCACAGAAACTTGAAATTTTCAGTGGACATCAAGAAAGGATAGAGGAGCAGCTATACGAAAAATCAGCCTTCTAGCTCTAAAAATGTCGAGTGCAGAGCAGAAAGACTACCTGGGGGGGGGTGGCAACCACCCCCCCCATGTGCGGGCGAGGGTTAACCTGACCTGAAAATGACCTCAGTAAAAATTTCTAGACCTTGTCCGTGTGTACTCCATGCCCTTTACTGCTTGTCGCTAGCTTGCTTCGCTCTTGAGACGTTCTTTCGTTCAGTGGGAGGCCCTTTCCGTCCCCTCCCTGTCAGTGCAAAGTTGGCGCGGATCCTCGTCGGTGCGCGCCGCGCCGGTTAGGGTAAAGTGGGGCTAGTTGAGCATAGTTGTAAGCTGATCCACGCCGATTTATCGGTACTTCTATGGCGTGCATCTATGCTGTTCTTGCCATGCAAGGAGACATTATTATTGCAAACCTTCATGGCAAATCTGGTTGAAATCAGGGTAACGGTGGGGCAGGCGTCACCAACAGCTTTCTGTTGTAAACAACCAAGGTTGAGGCATTGTTTGGGCCCGAATGCATACACCATTTACGCGAGATTACCCACAGTGCTCGGACACGTTGATGACGTCACTGGTGGCAGTTCGATCTATGCATACTATCGATGCAGGTTTTTTTATCGATATTAGAACTTTTATTTTTTATTTGTTCGAGACGAATTTATGATGGGTAAGGGTAAGCATAGGAAACGTTGTGATGACGTCACCGGTGAACTTAACGTTTGCCTCAAATGCTGCAATGCAGCTGGAGATGGAAGATGTGAATTGCCAGTGATCTTCGAATCATATACGATCTCATTAAGTTTTAGTTGTTTCTCGGCGGTGATAATCTCGAACGGAATGCGATTCTAAGCGCAATTACGCGCAAGGTTCGTGCATTGTTTGGAGACGAATACATATGGGATTATGCAAGAGGTGTGTGTGTGTGTTACCTACGCAAGGACACGCGCTGATGCCGTCACTGGCAACACGAATTTCTGCTTATTGCTCCGAACAAAATATATCGAAATAACGTTTTTAATAAACAAATGAAAGACTTCAACTTGTAAGGCTTTCCTAACAAAATAATCAATTAAAAAATATGTTTTGGTGGCAACACATTGAAGCAATGGCCGCTCGTTTCTTAATTATTCATACATTCTTGATTACACTTGAGTCACATTTCTGCTGTCTGCTTTAAGTTACTATTTCCGGTAATAAACATTGCAATTGAGATCGGGGGCTCTCATATCCGAGCAGCATGGCTGTACCTTTGAATCCCAGCGTGTTCGCGATAGGCGTAGTTTGTAGTCAGGAGGAGAAGGCACTTCAGTTCTGTAGAGATCAGGGCCTAATCCCAGCTCCGCGCGCTCAGGTCCCGAACGGTCGTATCGGGGAGTATTGGGGGATTTGCCGCGAGCTGGGTTTTAACGACCAGCAGCCGAACTGTAACGGCCGTGTTACAACAGTCACACGCGTCTTTAAAAACGGACCGAAGCCCCAGTACCGCTGCCTAACGTGCAGGAAGCAGCTGTCCCAGCAGCATGGCCTCGCCCCCATCGGGGGAGCGGGGATAGGGACGTGGTTCGCCAGCATAGATCAGGCTGGCCGACCAAACTCCAAGATCTCCAAGCGGGCCGTGCTTTGGATTTTGTTTGCAATGGCAAAGGAAATCAGCCTCAAGAACACCATCAGACTGACGGCTGGTGATCTCCCGATTGACAAGTCGGCCATCGTGGACTGGAGGAACTTCACTCGCGAGCTAATGGTGAACGCACTCCAGGAGGCACCACGGATGGGCGGAGTGGGCCATATCGTCCAGATCGACGAGTCCCTGTTCCGCGGACGACGCAAGTACAACCGAGGACGGGTGCTGCAAGGAGACGGCATCCCAGGACGGAGGCAAAACAACCACGGGCAGCGAGTGGAGGGCCCATGGGTCTTCGGCCCACTGCACGACGCCACAGGTGAGCTTCGGCTCTTCCACGTGGAGCAGCGGGACGCCGGCACTCTCCTACCCATCATCGTCGCCAATGTGGAACCGGGGACGACGATCTGGTCGGACGAGTGGGCCGCGTATCGCCAGATCCCACTCTGCCGCGACCAGCCCCAGAACGGAGGAGGCCTAATGGGCTACGTTCATCAGTCAGTGAACCACTCGCAGGAATTCGTCGACCCAGCCACAGGAGCGAACACCCAGCGACTGGAGCGAGAGTGGGAGCGCTGCAAGCTCCAGCTCATGCGGCTGAACAAGGGGACCTCACGTGCCCTGCTGCCTGGCCACCTGGCGTCCTTCTGGTGGGCTTCGCTGAACGGGCAGGCAAAGTGTTGTAGGAGTTCCCTACAGCCGCGCACACCTGCTGCGCATGTGTCGGTGCGACATTGCTTATGTATACTCGTATATCCGCGCACACACGCTGCGCATGTCTCACGTTACTAGATAGACCGTCTAGCGCATGCGCGTAGTTTTAGTATACCGTCTAACGTCCGTGTGTGCTGTACATTAGTAAAATCTGAAATTTGTAAATACACTCTTCTACTCATCGGCAACAAGGCTTTGGAGGGAAACGGAAGACGAGGAAGCGAGGGCGACATGAAGAGCCCTGGTGGCTGACGAGTGCTCGGAAAGGAACACGTTTCCCGATCACCACGATCGGATGACTGTAAACTGGGACGACCGTTCTCCCCACAGTTTACACTGGTGACCCCGACGTGATCCGGGCTACTCGTGGACCACACCATGGAGTCGAGCGAAGCCACCCGGCAGCACACCGCTCCTCCCGCAACCAGCTTCAGCTCGCCGGCACCCGAACCCGAGGCAGCAGGTCGGCTCACAGCCCTGCTAGCCACCATCGCGACCCTCATCGTCCGAGTACAGCAAATGGAGGCCACCCAGCGTCGACTCAAAGGCGCAGCATCGCAACTTGGCCGAAGCCAGCATCAACGACGCGATGAAAACCGCCCTCTAAAGCCAGCGCATCCGTCAACCTACGAGATCTGCTGGTACCACCAGCGCTTCGGTGCCAGAGCGCGTCGCTGCAAAGCGCCGTGCAGTTTCTCCCACCGCAACAAAGGTCGACATCGCAGCCGTCAGACGCCTCGCCCGTCACACCCTCCGACGCCGACGTACCCAGACAGCTCTGTCTGCTGGTACCACCAGCGTTTCGGCAACAAGGCCCGCCGCTGCGAGCCTCCGTGCAGCCGGTCGAAAGCATCTGCCGCAACACTTCTCTTCGTGCGGAACACGAAGACTGCCAAACAGCAACGGATCGACGCTGACGCCTCACTCAGCGCATCTCCTCGCGGCAACCTACCGAAGCGACCGACGCCGACGCCAGCTCCACCCAACAAGCAGCCGGTGGCCGCCAGCGCACCAACCAGCAACATCGACCACTGCGAGCCTGCGTCTCCGGAAGAGACGCCACACCTACCTGCGCAGCAGTCTCCTGCCTCTGCGACTCTGCCACCATCAGCTGCCCGGTCGGACGGCCTGGAGCTGATGCTGCCACAAGACACGCCGCCTGCAGAACAACCATCTCCAAGAGCAGGAGCACCGGGACCAGCTCCACCGCGATCTATCTTGCGCTCTCGCACCGATCGCGACGTTCGATCCCCACAGCGATCTCGACGCGTCACGTTCGCGACCCGTCTAGGGAGGGGGTAGTGTAGGAGTTCCCTACAGCCGCGCACACCTGCTGCGCATGTGTCGGTGCGACATTGCTTATGTATACTCGTATATCCGCGCACACACGCTGCGCATGTCTCACGTTACTAGATAGACCGTCTAGCGCATGCGCGTAGTTTTAGTATACCGTCTAACGTCCGTGTGTGCTGTACATTAGTAAAATCTGAAATTTGTAAAGACACTCTTCTACTCATCAAACCAAGGCTTTGGAGGAAGACGGAAGACGAGGAAGCGAGGGCGATATGAAGAGCCCTGGTGGCTGACGAGTGCTCGGAAAGGAACACGTTTCCCGATCACCACGATCGGATGACTGTAAACTGGGACGACTCTCTCCCCACAGTTTACAGTGTAGCGACCCCTTCCTGCGCCTGCTCGGTCTGATCCGTGCCAACTACCCTCAGGTGTAGCTCACAAGACGTACTCGGCACGGACAGGCGCAACGAGTGCGGACACGGAGCAGTGTCTCGCTCTTACCAGCCTGAGCACGGTGGCTAACTAATCATAAGCGATCGGTCGGCAATGTGTGTTGATTGTTAAAGTCTTGCGTGATGCCCGAGACGTTTGATAATAATATGAACGGATAGCGATCATCTAAGGCTGAGCGCAGTGGCTTCTTGCTTCTTGCAGCGAAGTGTTTCTTTGTTAAATGTTTTGCTCAACTAATACATATACCTACAGTCTACACGGTTGACGCTGACCATGCGGAGTTTTATTTCTCAACATTGACGCAACATTGATGCAAATGAACTATGCAAATGAACTGTGCGTACATGATCCGATTTTGTTACATACCGAATCGAAAGATCCATTGACCAAAGACACGAGGATATAAACCGTTCGTGGCAAGAACAGCTGGTCTTTTCCCGGCCGGGAAAAGATCTTTGTGATCTTTCCCGGCCGGGAAAAGATCAACACTTGATCTTTTCCCCGCCGGGACAAGATCAACCGTTTTAGAATTTATGGAAGTGAAGAATTAAAGAATTTATAGCAACTAATAGTGTGTAAGAAATATAATTATGCATGGGCGACAGTTTGCTCGAGTCTCGACGGTAAAGACAGGAACTTTTACAAGGCTGGCGGCCCAGGCAAATGATTTTATCGCCAGGAATCCTCAGGTGGATTTCACGTCGGGTACCTTTATCTCTTTTAAATCATTCGTCGTGGTCCACTGCAGGAACATGCCTTTGAGAACCGTGCCTTAGAGATTTTAAAGTTTATTTGTTGTGACCATCTGAGGCCCGACTCGGTGACAACCCGCTCGTGTCAGTGCTGCTGTGTATTAGAAAATAAAAACAGGCATGATGGACTGAAGGTAAACAAAATATAACATAAATGAGTTGGTGTCTGAGACAGGTCGACGCAGGTGTTCCGAATGGTTTGAGCTCGTCACAGTCTAGCAGGTCATTTCTGGCAGTTGGCACTGTGCCAAACTAGGTATCCTGCAACACAAGAGAACACTATTTCAACCATTCGGCCTATCTGAATCTCTACACGCTATACAAACGGTTAACAATACATTGGCTCTCATGAATACATACATCTGGTCATAATCATATATAATATTCATCATAATCTCACCACTGGCCCTTCCGCGGCCACGCGTAGGCTCAAAAGAAAGAAAATGCGCAGCTGACGCGTGTCCGTAACACGAAAATACACTTATTGCGCGCGAGTTTCGTTTACGCCGCGATACAGTGCAACTAAATTATAAGCGCCGCAGGACAGTGCTACTAAATCATTATCGCGTGTCACAACACCCTCCCCCGCCAGTGTTCACACACGGGAACACGATATCGACCTGAGTCCAACAAATGCTTCCGAGAGCGGTGGGACAAATCACAGCGATCGACACAGCCAGCTAACACTTCTTCGGAGAGCTCTGTAGAGGCAGTCGGTTGACCTGTACGGTTGACCCTGCAGTCATCAGGAGCAGAGTCGGCAGCTCACAGCGGTCCATCCACGGTACTGGAATCAGCGAGCCTTGAGGCAACATTCCACTAGTCTCAACTTCATACACACTGGTATGCTAACTCAGCAGGCGTCGCTGTCTGAACGCAATAACTAAACGCATCACTTAATCACGAGTAACATATTCACTGAGCGCGGCGAGTCGATCACAGATTACGCGAACACGGGTGAAACACCGGATTGTCTCAATCACTGAGATTAGTCTCTCTTCTTCACCGGAATGCAGTGTACGACGGACACTGACGGGCAGCAGTCGCGTCTCCGGCGTCTCTCTGAACAAGACCGATACCGCCACCGGTTCAGCGGCTCGGGCGCCGCCCACAACCAGGCGGCCCGGGTATCACCAGCAGCAGGGCGCGGCGGCCGCAGCGCGCGGGCGCCGGAGGCAGCAGGTGAGTAGCAGCGACAGCAGCGCACGACGAGCCGGCGGCAGCAGCGCGCGCCGGGCCAGCCGGCAGCAAGCAGCGACAGCAGCGCACGACGAGCCGGCGGCAGCAGCGCGCGCCGGGCCAGCCGGCAGCAGGGCGCGACGGGCGCAGCGCGCCGGCGCCGGAGGCAGCAGGTGAGCAGCAGCGACAGCAGCGCACGACGAGCCGGCGGCAGCAGCGCGCGCCGGGCCAGCCGGCAGCAGCGCGCGCCGGGCGCCATCAGTGACGGGCCGGCACACACGCCACCAGTCGCCGGGCGTCATCAGCGCCCTCTAGTAGACACAGCTTGTGTGCGGGTCTGGTGAAGGTGCCGCTGCGAGTCTTGACTTCGGCTGATCGGACTCGCCCGTCCGATCCCGGGAAGACTTTGATGATCCGGCCCAGAGGCCAGTCACCTCTTGGAGTGTTGTAGGTGTCTGCCATCAGCACGACATCACCTTCTTGCAGATTTCTGCTCTCTTGTCTCCATTTCTTTCTGTCAGCCAGAAATGGTAGGTATTTCCGGCGCCATCTGGTCCACAGATGGTCAGCCAGGATCTGTGTCTGTCTCCATCGTCGTCGTCCGATCAGGTCACTGTCATTGAAGACTCCTGGAGGTAGTCCTTCTCGAGCGTCAGTAGCACCCAGCAGAAAGTGGTTGGGTGTTAGTGGTTCTGGATCTTGTGGGTCGCTACTTACGTAGGTGAGAGGGCGGCCATTCACCATGAACTCTACTTCAGCCAGGGCGGTGAGAAGAACGTCCTCGGAGACGCACTGGTTGCCGAGCACTACTCTGAGGGCTCGTTTGACGGTCGCAACCAGGCGCTCCCACGAGCCTCCCATGTGAGGAGCTGCAGGCGGGAGGAACACCCACTTGATGTTGCTCTGACTTAGCGTGTCGGTGATGTGTTCTTGATTCCAGCGTTTGATCTGGTCCCGGAGTTCTCTTTCACCTTCAACTATGCTAGTCCCATTGTCGGAGTAGATCGTTTGAGGCTTGCCTCTGCGAGCGATGAACCGTCTCAATGCCATCAAGAAGCATTCAGCGTCCATTGAGACGGTCATCTCCAGGTGCACGGCTCTGGTTGCGAGGCAGGTAAGCAGTAAGACGTACCTCTTTTCCGTCTTGCGGAACTTCTTCACTGTCAGTGGGCCGAGATAGTCTAGACCCACTGTGCTGAAAGGCCGTCTCATGTCAAACCTCGCCTCTGGCAGGTCAGCCATCCTGGGTGGCTGAGGGGTGGCTCTGCGGTTACGGCAGAACGCACACTTCTGTAGCTGCTTCTTGACTGTAGATCTCATCTTCTCCACCCAGTACTTGGTTCGAACTTCACAGAGAGTTAGTTCCAAACCGGAGTGAAGAACTCGCTTGTGCGCGTCTGTGATGATCAGTCTGGTGATCTCGCTGTCAGCTTGCAGTATGACTGGGTGGCGCGTGGGCTCCGCCAGCGGAGCCTGGCCGAGGCGGCCTCCCACTCTCAGCAGTCCACGGCTGTCATGGAAGGGTGACAGGTGGGAGAAGTGCTGAGGTGATGAGAACCGCGGTTTTCTCTGCTCTGCTCTCAGAATGCAGAGTTCAGCTGCCTCGATCTCTGCACTTTGCAGAGGTCCACTAGTCCCTGCTGTCCCAGAGACCTTACTTCTTGCGTTCTTGATGAAACGTTGCATCCACGCAACGACGCGGCGGAACTTCAGCCATGATGAGAACCGCGCTGGATCTGGAATTGCTGAATCAGTAGGTAGCTCTTGAGTCTGGACGCGACTTGCCGCTTGCAGCGTACAGACGGTTGGTCGCTTGAGCTCTTTGCAGTCTGCACTGAGCTCTCCTGCGTCGCTCTGTGGAGGCCAGAGCTCTTCACTGTGTCTGAGGAATGGCGGGCCGTCCCACCAGTCTTCCTCCTTGAGTGTCGACAGAGATTGACCTCTGGAGCATAGGTCTGCCGGGTTCTCTGTCCCTGGAACATGGAACCACTGTTCTGGGCTCGTAGACTCGTGGATCTCGGATACACGATTAGCCACAAACGTGTGGTATCTTCGACTCTCGTTCTTCAGCATCTGCAACACGACGCGGCTGTCCGTCCAGAAGCAGATTCTGGTGAAGTTGTAGTCGATCTCTTTCTTGATGGTGGTAGCCACTCTGGTTGCCAGTACGGCACCTTGAAGTTCGAGACGAACTATGGAGAGCTGTCTCAGCGGAGCCAGTCTCGAGCGGGCCATGACGAACTGACAGTAGCTGGTACCATGCGACAGCACTCTGACGTAGGCTATCGCGCCGAAGGCGTGCTCGGAGGCGTCACTGAAGAGATGTAGCTCGTACTGAGCTTCTGACTCCTGACCCTGAGCGCGATACCATCTCGGGATACGGACTTCTTCCACGTACTTGAGGTCTTCTTGCCAGCGGATCCAGCTGCGGAGCTCGTCTCCGGTCAGAGGCTCATCCCAGTCGAACTTCTCTCGCCAGAGGTCCTGGATCAGCTTCTTGGCGAGTAGAGTGAAGGGTGTCAGCATCCCCAGGGGATCATACACTGAGGCAGCTTGCTTCAACACCCCTCTCTTCGTGGCAGGTACTGAGAGTCGGCTGATCTTGACGGAGATTGTGTCGTCCTCTGGGATCCACTTGCATCCCAGCACTGTGCAGTACGGGTTCCCTGGAGAGCGGTCTTCTTCTTTCAGTACTCCCCGTTCTTGGTCTGGAACGTCTGACAGCACTGTCTTCTCACTACTAACCCACTTCGTCAGATTGAAGCCCCCGTGGGTCAGCAGACTTGTCACTTCTGTCTTCATGATTCTGGCTGCTTCTACGGACGCTTCAGACTTCACAAAGTCGTCCATATAGAAGCTAGTTGACACTGCTTCTTTGGCGATCAGAGATTCCGCTGTCCCTGAACAGCCATCTTCTGCTGTTTTCTGTAGGACATAGTTCGCGATAGCAGGACTGCATTTCGCACCGAAGATCGCGACGAGCATGCGGTACATGTCAGGCTCTCGCGACGAGTCGAGGTCACGCCACAAGAAGCTCAGTGCTGGCTGGTCTTGTTCACGGATCTGGATCTGGTGAAACATCTGTGTGATGTCGGCCACGATCGCGACTTTCTCCTGTCTGAAGCGAAGAAGAATCCCGACCAGATTCTGGAGGAGGTCTGGGCCCCTCATCAGCTCGCTGTTGAGAGACACGCCCAGATGGGAGGCTGCTGCGTCGAAGACCACTCTCAGCTTGGGTTTGTTGGGGTTGACTACAGCGTGATGAGGAAGTAGCCAGAGCTTCTCATGCGGTTTCTCAGCTTCTTCCCTGGGCAGCTTTCGTGCGTGACCGGCGTTGACATACGCTCGGATCGCCGCTCCGTAGGCTTCAGCTTTCTTGGGATCCCGCATCAGGCTCTTCTCCAGCTTCTTGAGTCTCCCCATGGCGGTGCACACAGCCGCTATTTGAGTTCGGAAGTGGCCAAAATGTGATAACTCGTTAACCAGTTGACATTTTGCCAACGAATTTTTATTATATGTGAAGTAAACCTTGAGGTCACGTATGGAAACGTATGAGCATCCTGCTGATCCAGCATTGCCGTAAAAAATATTTTTGCTTGTAATCCGCGGATGACGGGTATATCCCATAACGTGGGTGACTCGGGAGGGGATTCCGCATAGCTTCCCTGCTGTCTTCGAAACTACTCGTTCAATACTAAAAATTCAAACGGCTTCTGATAGGAATAGCTGACAAACGAAACCTAACTTTGTCACGAAAGGTCATGGAAAGGTCATGGGTCAGAAAAGGTCATGGAAAAGGTCATGGAAGGAAATGTATACCTCATGCGACACATCTTTTATGGTCCATTTCGGCAAATGCATCTAAAAATGATGTCATCTGGGTCGTCCGATTCGTAACTATTTCCATTCGACAAATGAAGGTCAGGTCACGGCGAGGTCAAAAAGGTCAAATTTTGAAGTTGAACATTCTCAACAAAAAAGATGTGCATCGGATGCAATTTGAGCTATGGAACACGATGATACTATTCGTTTTGGTTTTCGATGTCAAGAACGTACTGAAATTGCCTTTGCAATATCGAAAATTGTGATTAACCGAACTACGGTAAAATGCAAAAGCCGATAACATTGCCATTTCTGAAGATATCTAACTGAAACCTTCCAAAAGCAATGCAAATGTTACATACAAAAGCCAATAAGGTTCATTCTGGTCGATGGCTGCTCCCCAAAACTCTGAATGTTATCAACCATATCGGACATTCTTACCATGTTCTGTTGGCTGGATGTCTTTTTGATTTATTGAATTTGATCAGACTACATTCAGTTAAGACGACGTACATTTATTGGTCACCAGAAAGTATACCCACAAGTCAATCGACAATCGACAACCAACAAATGCAATCGACACGAGCGTCGAGCACCCCCCCCCCCCCCGCACAAGCAACTGCCGGGGCGATTAGACGGACCGCGGCCGCGCTCCTCTCTCGCAGCTGATTGGTCAGCTGCCGAACCGCACGGACGTCAGCTGCACGGCCGCCGCCCGGCCGACCTGACCGGGGTCGGCCGGGCGGCGACCTAGCGTCACTAGAACTGCAATAACTTTTGCCGGCAGTGTGATGCCGACCTAATTTTTTCAGCAAATGAATCACAATTGTACGGTATATGTTATGGACGTTGTCTCGATGTGAAGCACGCTGTGCGTTTTTTGGTAGGTCCATGTAAATATTGAAATCCTCAAGCCCTTCTGCTTTGTGCAAGTGTGCAACAATTAGCTTACAATAACTGAGTGGGAAGTTTTTTAGATGCACTTTTGTTACCAATGGATTCCGCACATTCTCCCCTTTCAGCTGATATCTTACTTACGCATCTTCAAGCAAAGAATATGCAGGAGACTCGTCAACATTTACATGAAAATCGCAGCACAAGTTCGGTCTCACGGAGCAAAACAAAACGGTGTACTTTGGGAGCCCATCAATCTGTGCCAGAATGAGTAATATTTTTTCTGGATGATATTTCATACAGTCTGATCAATTTACGACCAGAAAATGTGAGAAAAGCACGCTTTAAAATTTGTCGAAAATTAGGGTATTGGCCAATTCTGAACCCGGATAGCGGCTGTGTGCGGTGGCTTGGTTTTCCGGCATCTTGACGTCTTCATTCTTCCACAGGAGGCCGGACTCGTATCGGTTCTCTCCTCTCTTGACGGTGTCGTTCAGGATTTTGATGCTCCGCTGATCTTCTGCAGACGATTCGTTCACGTCACAACGCGTGCCGAACGCCTCTGTGGTCCACCACTCCTCTACTTGCTGCCGGAGGAGGAACATGACTTGTCGATGGTTTGTCGAAGCAGGAGTGAAGCCGGCGATGGTGCCTGTCAGGGACCAACCGAAGGCCGTTCGGACTGCTACCGGCTCTCCGGCGCTGCCGATCCTCGCCTCTCTCTGTAGCACTGCTTCCAGTACATTTGCACCCAGGAGAATCTCTACGGTCCCTCTGGTGCAATCTGGTAGTTGCAGTCCGTGGAGGTGCCTCCACTTCTCCCAGTTTCTGATCTTGTTAGGGATTTCTTGGACGCGCACGTTAACTCTTGGCACCGAGAAGGCTTCAGGGACGAAGATCTTGCAGTGAGGGTCTTCCCCAGCACAGAGAGGACTCAGAGTCAGCTGACCTCGGGTGGTCCTTCTGGTGCTTCCCCGACCTTCTACGTTCTCGATGCAGAGTTGCTGTTGATCTCCGGTTAGGTTAGCATCACGGACGAGCTGGTCTGACACGAGGCTGGTCTGTGACCCTGGATCGAGTAGCGCCAGCGTGTCTCGGTAACCGTCCTCGGTGTGAACGCGCACAGGTACCACCTGCAGCAACGTCACGCTCTCCGAGATCCGCTCCCGCTCTGTGACTGCGGCCACGACTCTGTGCTCGTTGTCTCTCGCTGGTGATGTCACTCGTTTGCTGCCATGCAGCAGCTGATGGTGCTTCATCATGCACCCGTCGATTCCACAGTCTCTCTTGAACGCGCAGGTCTTGATCCGATGTCCTCTCTTGAGGCACACGAAGCAGGTGCCTGTCCTCAGCACGAGTTGAGCTCGCCGATCAGCGTCCAGTTCTTGGAATGCTGGACACTCCTTCAGTGGGTGAGCTCCTTCACAGCACACACAGTGCTGCGTCTGGCTCGTGCTGGTGGTTCCTGTGGTCAGTGTAGCTCGCGTCTCTGATACTGGTTTCTGTCTTGGGGCTTTCTGCGCTGCACCTGGGCCTGGGATCCAACCTCCTTGCCTTCGGTCTTGGCGTGTCAGAGTCACTGAAGCCAGCTTCTGGGTGATCCTGACCTGCTTGGCAAGCCACTGGTCGAACTCTGTCAGCGAAGCACGGCGAGGCTCCATCTCCACTGCATGTTCACTCCACGCATACTTCATGTCCTGTGGCAACTTCTCGATCACTCTGCGCAGGTTCTCTGTACTATGGAGGTCTCCGTCATACTCAAGATTCTGCAGAACTGTCACTGCAGAGTGCACGGCTGAGTGGAATCGCTCCAGTCCCTGCAGGTCTTGGTTTGAAGAAGGTGATGGACTTCTGAAGATCGCCTTCATGTTCTCCTGCACGATGTCTTCTTTCTTACCGAAGCGGTCTTCAAGCGCTCTCAAAGCATCTTCATAGAGCCGTCCTTCATAGAACATGCCGCTGATGATCTGTTGAGCTGGTCCTGCAACGGCACTCTGGAGGTGGACCATCTTCTCTGTAGAGTTTAGGGGCTGGTCATGGACGAGGGTTCGGTAGAGAGCATACCACTTGGGCCACTCCCCAGGACTACCACTGAACTTGGGTAGTGTGATGCGTGGGAGACTCCTCAGGAACAACGGTTCAGGCTGCTGTGACTGTGAGGCATGGGTACTCTTCCCTGTCTCTGTGCGATGAGCCTGGTCTGCAGTGGCTGCCGCTTCACCATCGAAGTCTTTCCTCCGGTCCCAGTTCAGGTCGTCCTCTGCTGCTGCGGTCAACCGAACCTCCAACTTGACCAGGTCTTCAGCTTCCTTTGCAGACTGCAACTCATTGTTCCTCTTGAGTTCTTGCTCTTCTCTCTCCCGTTGTTGCCTCTGTTGCAATATCTGTAGTTCTTGCTGTTTTAGCTGGAGGGCTACTTCCGCTTTCCTGACAGCTCCTGAGGCCTGAGACTTCTCAGCATCTGAAGCCACCGAGGGTGGCTCACCTTGCCTTGACTTGAGATAGCCCTGAGCTCGCTCGTATGCATCATCATACTGCTTTGTTGCCGAGGTTATGTATTCATCCGCCTCTTGTAGTAGCTCCTTATCCTCTGGTACTGACATCTTTAGTTCATCATTCACTTCTTCAACACATTGCAGAGCATCATCGAGTTCCTTCATCATGGCCATTAGTTGTGTGCGGGAACCTCGACTGCTGATGAGGACAGACACCCGCCTTCTTACTCTGGTAAGCCTGCACAACATCTGGCCACGCTTCTGCTTCAGGCGACTCGTTGTCGAAGACATGATGAATTCTGGTGGTCTGTGTGTGTGCTTATTCTGATGTGATGTAACAAATGTTAGGATATATACAATGTATCAGGACTGAAATTGTGTCAGAATCTAGTATTTCATACTGAGACAGAAGGGAAAGGATCTGGTACTTCAGGATTGACATGTGAAAAATAACATGACATCTGACGTGAAACTGTCACTCCGAAACTGCATCTTGAAACTGTCATTCAGAATTGACTTGCGTAACTGACATACAATTCTGACATCTTGAAACTGCTTGAAAGCTTCATTCGGAACTGTGACCATCTGAGGCCCGACTCGGTGACAACCCGCTCGTGTCAGTGCTGCTGTGTATTAGAAAATAAAAACAGGCATGATGGACTGAAGGTAAACAAAATATAACATAAATGAGTTGGTGTCTGAGACAGGTCGACGCAGGTGTTCCGAATGGTTTGAGCTCGTCACAGTCTAGCAGGTCATTTCTGGCAGTTGGCACTGTGCCAAACTAGGTATCCTGCAACACAAGAGAACACTATTTCAACCATTCGGCCTATCTGAATCTCTACACGCTATACAAACGGTTAACAATACATTGGCTCTCATGAATACATACATCTGGTCATGATCATATACAATATTCATCATAATCTCACCACTGGCCCTTCCGCGGCCACGCGTAGGCTCAAAAGAAAGAAAATGCGCAGCTGACGCGTGTCCGTAACACGAAAATACACTTATTGCGCGCGAGTTTCGTTTACGCCGCGATACAGTGCAACTAAATTATAAGCGCCGCAGGACAGTGCTACTAAATCATTATCGCGTGTCACAACATTTGTACTTTTCCTATTCTTATTGTTTTTTTCTTTTAATTTAATTTTATTTTTACTGTGTACTTTTATATTATATCTTATTATTTAATGGATCTCTTTCATGGATCTCTGTATTTTTAAGTGTCATCTAATTGCGAATGAGTGCGTGTCTTCGGGTTAGTGTATACCTTGTGTGTGTATTTTATGTTGTGGTATGACTTCGCCTGTTAATGGGCCATGAGCCTGTTGGCGATTTATTTGAATAAATAAATAAATAAAATAAATAAATGGGTCTGCCAGGAAGATGAAAATTATCAGCACTCGTGCCATCTTTTCACTCAGGACAACGGTCATCAAATTCGCCGGTGAAAATTAGCTCCCGACCTAAAAACGGATTGCAAAACTTGATAAAAGGCACGGCAATTTCTTGCCGCCGACGCGATGGGATTGGAACCCGCGATCTCAATCTTGTTAGAGAGCTCAAAAGTCATTTTCACGTGCGACCTTCCCGCTTTGCAAATCAAAGTTCTCATATCGATAGAAAACCCTGCATCGATAGTACATTTAGATCGAGCATACCAAATATTTAAGCCACCAGTGACGTCATCAACGTGTCCGAGCATTGTGGGTAATCTCGCGTAAATGGTGTATGCATTCGGGCCCAAACAATGCCTCAACCTTGGTTGTTTACAACAGAAAGCTGTTGGTGACGCCTGCCCCACCGTTACCGAAATCAGTGCAACCATTTGTGACTGGGAACGAAAAAAAAAATTATAAACAAGAAACAAGGGGCACTTTTCGCCCCCTTCCCGCAAAAACGGTAAGAGGCTTATTTCGGTCAGAGCTCAGGCCAATCTCTAAGTGGTCACTTATTTCTTAAAAGGGTCTTTACGGGCCTCTAAGGGCCAATTCCGACTTTTGATGATCACATCGGCATTTGATCCAGTCAGTTGCTGAAAACTGAATATACATAATATATTGATCTCTACAGGCGTTATGGCTTATGCAATATGCAGACAGAACGGATCCAGCTCAGAGTTTTTTTTTTGGGGGGGGGGCAAACCATAACAATTTATCGGTTCTTTCCATGCCTCGTCCATAGGCGTAATGTTAAAATTATGCCGTTTGGGAGGGACAAATGCCCATTTTGCCCCCCCCCCCCGGATCCGCCACTGTATGCAGACGCTTGGTATCCCTCACTTATCCCTCATTGGGGGCTCTGGCGGGCTCCTGAGGGCCCACGTCTATCTCCAGGAACCCTAGACGGGCTCCTTTGGGTCCTTTCAGTTCACTATAACATAAAAAGTCTCCACTTGAGTCCTATACATCTGAGGGCGCACCCAGACGTCTGAGGTACCCACCTGCAGCTCCAATGGTCTCTTACACTGGCGGATCCGGGGAGAGGGCATTTAGGGTCATCCCCTCAGGCTTAAAGTGGCCCGTTTGCCCCCTCCCCCAAACGATAATGAAACAGGGTTCAATCAGTGCGTGGCCCAGGAGCCGAGTTAGACAGGGGGTGTTTTACCACCTCCCGGCCCGCAAAGGTGGCGCCAAGCACCGACCTGGAGCGGGTGAACTGGTCGACGAAAGCAATGTAAAGTGTTAACAAAGTGATATGAAGGCATGGGTCGGGTGGGCTACCATTTCTGTTTTTTTTTTTTCATTTTAGTTAAAACCAGGCACGTACCCAGGATTTCGCCCAGGAGGGGGCCACCTGCTTTCGTAGGGGCCCACCACAGTGTATAGGGCCCCCCAGGTTCCCCGGGGGCCCCCGGGAGTCATGAAGAACCTTTCGATGGTGGGGGGGGGGGGGGCATAGTGGGTCCGGTCTCTCCTGCAGACGTAGGTGATAAAACGCCACGTGTGTGGGAAAACGCAATTCAGTTCTTTACAACCTAATGTAGCATTTGGTTGTGATTTCTCGCGTTCAACTTCATCAAAGTCAATTAAAACGGTCTCTGTAACGGTCTAAGCCTTGAGAAAATGTGGAAAATTGGAAAGTAAAAATAATTTTGCTTGAGGATTGTGCATGAAACGCACGGCATTTTATGAGCGAGCGCCTCAATTACTGAACATCCTCCAATTCCGGATATGTAGGTATATAATATAATAGTGGGGAATAAATGTCTCGTTATCGGAATTCCACTATCTGGCAACTAGCCCTATGTAAACGCGGCTATTATATGTTTCACTAGGAATCGAGCGCAATTGTACTTTTAGCCAGAAAATAAATGCTTGGGTAATTCTGGGACACTGGTGTCACTGGTTAAAACAAATATTCATCGCGTCAGGGCTGTGACGAAAAATAAGAGGCCTAAATCCGATGAAAAAACAGGATTTGGGAATTAGGGATACCCTATAGGTGTGGCTCCTGCATGAGTTGCCCCGCCCCCCCCCCCACCCCCACCCAAAAAAGCGCAAGCTTGATCCGTCAGTGTAAATAGTGGAGGTATGGTGGAAAATGCTTATGTATGGTGTCGCCGACTCGCCATTACCCCGCCCTCATCTGCATACACTCGCAAACTAATGTCGAGACCAGTCGAGACTGTTCAGCGCCGCGGCGTCACCTATAGGGAGTTGTTAGAACTGCTGGTTGGTTGGGCGGCCGCTGCGGCGGAGCGCCGGGCGGCAGGTGTCGCTCAGACCCGGCCGCCGCTCGCCGGACCGGACCGGACCGGACCGCGGACCGCCTGCCTCACTCAGTGCGGCGCCGAGTGGTCCCGTGAGGAGGTGCCGCTGGTGGTGCTCGCCGTCACCCGTCCGCCCTGCCGCCGTCAAATACAGGTCAGTGGTCGCCAGTGGCGCAGAGCAGGCTACAACGTCACGGCGTGCGATGGCCGTACACCTATCTGTAACACTACGCGTCCAACACACCATGTGCCGTATGTAACACTATCTGTAACACTACGTGTCCAAAGTGTAGCCGGCACTCGCTGCTAATCAATAAGTTGTATTTCGTTGGGATGGAGGGGGGGGGGGGTCATAGCGTCCCGCCCCATCATGTCGTTCGCATGTCAAGGCGCGCGCGCGTTTACGACCCACTGTGCAGTGTACCGACAGTTGCACACATCCAATATGGAGACGGTAACACCTTCAGTAATGCAGCCTAAAACCAATGGCACTGTGTAGCTGTGTAGGAGGTACAGAGTGTTCCGAAATAAGTGAGCCCCCTAACTAATATTGCTTATATCTCTAAAACCTATCTCCTACGATAATGAGAGACCCCTTGTTGAAAAGAACGGCCAATGTCGGTTCTAATGGGCCACCTTATGTAGCTCTGTAAGAATACGTATTACACGGAGAACGGCCAGAACAAAATGTGTTGCGAGACCGGGTGAAACACGGCGGCGGAGGTAAACGTTGGACGGCCGCTTCCGGTCTTGTGAGATATTCCACATGTATAGTGTCAATCGTTTTTACTAATCGGTTGACACTTGCCAAGCTCCAATTATTATTCGGAAACTCGGTAGCCGGTGATCATTCGGTTAGCACCTCACTTGTTTTATAGGCGGAGTTGCTTGATGAGAATCAACGAATCAAGGCTGTCCACTGTCCACTGTCCACTGTCCAGTCAAACCATACCAAACCAGCTGGGTTCACCAAACCGTACCAAACCAGCTGGGTTCACCAACCAAACCGTACCAAACCAGCTGGGTTCACCAAACCGTACCAAACCAGCTGGGTTCACCAAACCGTACCAAACCAGCTGGGTGAACACCAAACCATGCCAAACCAGGGCTCGTGATTGCGCCACCCTCACGTCACCGCTGATTTCAGGGGGCAATGTAGCTTTGTGCTAGCTTTTCGTTGCGAGATATCCGTCTTTTTCTAGCTAGGCAGACAACTATGTTCTTTCAGATCTGTAAGCCTCTAAACGAAAATAAACGGCTTGTGTAACGACTAACGAGCATCGAATACTTATATCATGAGCATATACCTATATATACTGTAATACATCAATCTTATATCGGAAGTTAACGGTCATAACGGTTTCACGCTGAAAAGATTCGCGACAGCCCTCTGGCCTGGGCTGAAGTTTTACAATAACAAATCTTTAATTTTGCAGGATCTTATAAAGTATTTATTAACTTTGACTAAGGTCATCCCCTAGGCATTCGTTGTCATGCTTATTTGCAGCAATGAACAATTGATGATGGAAGCAATAAATGATTGCTAATGACCAATTGAGGTAGGTAGGCATAGGTAAAGCCAGCACCAATTAATACCCACCTATATTTATGTTTTTAGACAACAGGCAAGGATGTTTACCGGCGGGCAGTTAAACTGCAACTGTAGCTGCAGTGAGGCTGGGGTTACTCTGTCAGCTAGCAGGGCGCCCCTGACTATCGAGGTCCACCCGAGGCACTATCTGTGAGAGGTCTGACCCACGAGTGGCTGATCTCTGGTGACCGGCGCGCCTATCAGAGCGGCGTCTGTGTACATACATACGTGCCATTGAGGTAGAGCTCCAGCGGGTGTGGGTGCTATCGGCACCGTCCACTATCTGCCACTATCGGCCGAGGGACGGCCAGCTCAGATTGGTGACCCGCCTGTCGCTCTGAATGGTGCAGACATGTTTATGTAGGTAAAGATACGCGGGCAAATGGTGGCGTGCGTATTTGTTCTTGTAAATCCAGAAGCGAACAAAAAACGTAAACAAGATTTATCATTTGTTTGGGTTCAGTAAGTCAGACAAGACAAGGTTTTACACAGGTACAGGTGTGCGCGGAGTGCGCGTTGTATCATATACTTCCTACCAGTGCATCAGAGACGGATAATACGTACAGCGTTGGACAAATGCAAACTTTCACGAGGAAGGTGCATTTAAATGCCTACCTAGATGTTTATCATTGGCCGCGTAGCTTGCAGAGTCTCTAGCTAGCTGAAAAAAGTAGGCACGTAGGTAGGCGCCACGAGCAGACAGCGACGGATGACGGGCAGTAAAGTGCCGACATGTATGTAGTGCAGAGGCGCTGCAGGGTCCGACCGGGTCCGACGGGAGAGCCACCGGGGTCCGACGGGGGAGCAGAGCGGGTCCCACCGGGGAGCAGAGCAGGTCCGACGGGGGAGTCACCGGGGTCCGACGGGGGAGCAGAGCGGGTCCGACGGGGGAGCAGAGCGGGTCCGACGGGGAGCAGAGCGGGTCCGACGGGGGAGCCACCGGGGTCCGACGGGGGAGCAGAGCGGGTCCCACCGGGGAGCAGAGCAGGTCCGACGGGGAGCAGAGCGGGTCCGACGGGGGAGCAGAGCGGGTCCGACGGGGAGCAGAGCGGGTCCGACGGGGGAGCCACCGGGTCCCACAGGGGAGCCGTGGCAGAGGAGCCGACCGGGTCAGACCAGCCTTGGGCCTGACTGAGCCGAGCCTCAGAGAAGGTGACGGACCTGTGGGCCTGCTGGCGCCGCTCCGTGGTGCTGGGAAGGGGCGCCCGCCCGCCGCCGTTAGTTGCAACTTGCAGTGTCGGCCGGGAGAGGTGCCCGCCGCCGCCGGTATGCGCAGCCGGTCGGCACTGTGGCCCCAGTGCTGTGCCGATGCTCCGTTGGACAGCAAATCGGGTGGTGGTGGGGAGGAGGAGGGGGGCTGCCGGGTCGTCGGACGCCGTGGTCGTGGCTCGTTATTTCTGACGACCGATGCACGGTATGAGCCGGGCCAAGGAAAATGGCGAACGGCTCTGACGTACGTACATACTAGGGAACATTGTAAATATCCTTGCCATAGTAACGGCTATCAAATGAAAAAAATACTAACCCACGGCATGGGAGAGCAGAAACATACTTTTGTCACGATTTTGAGGCTGGGGGGATCCATGTGATCGCAAGGCACATCGCAGTTGCGATCAAACGTAAGTTGTATCGGAGCAGATATTGGAGGGATCCATCGTATCGGAGGCTAAGTAGTTACGCAAGTTGTATCGCAAATGGTGAACATACGAAATAACTTTACGATTCTTCTCGGTCGATCGGAAGGCCGATCGTAGCGAAGTTTTACCTCTTTCTCAAGAGAAAAATATAAGAAATTTTCAAAATTTTCACAAAACCGAAATATATGTTAAACAAATATGGTTGGTGAACACGTGTGCAAAATTTGAAGTCGATTTCTTCAAAAATGGCGGCGCTAGAGCGTTTTAAATTTACACGTTGAAAACGGTCACTTTCACGTCATTTTTGAAATTATTCTTTTTCAATTTTGAAATTTAAAAAGTGTTTTGGGCAATTTTTCGCGTTAATTGCGAAAATCTGACCCAATACATGTATCGCGCCATCAATGATCCGATACGCCATCAGAGGCCGCGCCGCGGACAGGTGGGCGCGGCGATACCTAGGCCGCGTGGGGGTTACATTGGTGTTCGGGAAGGGCTATGTCAACGCGAGGCAGGCCGCGGGGGAGCCGGTGGCGGCGCCGGTCCGTATTTGTCGGCGCCTAACAGCGGTGCGTTTATGGCGGAGGGAGAGCAAGCGGTATAGTGTCGGCAAGGCCGCACACAGGAGAAGGCACACCCCCATTCCCCCATTCGAGTTGGGGCCCCTAATCTTTAGACCGCCGAAGACCATGTAAAATGAACTGAAATAATGATTGAAAAGACCGGGAGGGCCCATCTCGTTCTCCAGCAGGCCCATACGAGTCCATAAATGTCCAGTAGCGCAGCCAGGGGTATTGTGGCGAAATTTCAATGGTCCTCAAAAGACCTCAAAGGGCCCACAGATGGGGTCACAGGGTCCTCAGATGGTCTCGAAGGGCCCTCGGTTAGCGTCAAATGGCCCTCATCTGGTGTCAAAGGGCCCTCAGATGGCCAAATGAAGGGCCACAAGATGGCCTCAAAGGGCCCTCAGATGGGTTCAAATGGCTCTCAGCCAACGTTAAACCTACCTCAGAAGACCTTAAAGGGCATCAAAGGGCCTAAACCTGCGTCAGAGGGCCCTGAGCTCGCGTCAAACGACCCTCCGAAGGCCTTAAAGAGTCCTTAGCTTGTGTGAGAGGGCCCCCAGCTGGTGTCAGTGAGCCCTCCTCAGCTGGCGCCAAAAGTCCATCTGAAGGCCTCAAACGGTCGTCAGCTGGAGTACAGCGGTCCTCAGATGCCGTCACGCGGCCCTCAAAAGCCTCAAGGAGCCCTTATAAGGTCTCAAAGGGCCCTCATTTGGCCTCAAAAGGCCCTCCGCTAGCGTTAACCGGACCTCAGAAGACCTTAAAGGGCCATTACTAGTGTCAGAGGGCCCCCAGCTAGTGTCAGGGGCCCCTGGCGCGAAATGGCCATCAGAAGGCATCAAACGGTCCGTAACTGGAGTCCAACCGCAACGGTCCTCAGCTGGCGTCAAGCGGCCCTCAAAAAGCCTCAAAGGCCGCTTAGAAGGCAGCCAAGGGCCCTCATATGACCCCAAAGGGTCCTCTGCTGGCGTCAAACGGACCTCAGAAGGTCTCAAAGGGCGTCAAAGGGCCCTGAGCGCGTGTCAAATATAAAAGCGCCCTTAGCTGGTGTCAGGAGGCCCCCAGTTGGTGTCAGCGTGCCCTCAGCTGGTGTCAGAGAGGCGAGAGCCCTCAGTTGGCATCTACTGGCCATCAGAAGGCCCCAAACGGTCCTCAGATGGCGTCCAACGGTCCTCAGCTGACGTTAAGTGGCCCTCAAAAAGGCCTCAAAGACCCCTCGGCTGCTGAAGAGGCCCTTAGCCTCAAAGGAAACTCAAGAGACGTTAAACGGCCCTAAAAAGGCTTGAAAGGGCCCTCTGCTGGTGGCAAAGGGCTCGCAATCGCATATGACGTCAATAACAGCTTTGTCAAAAACGGACCTGAG